AAATAGTTTTGGATAAAATGTGAACTACTTTATAGCGGAGCTCCGGCGGGCCGCCAAGCGGAGCCCCATACTCATATCGGAAAAAAAGGAAACCCATGAGCTGATTTTCTCACGGTTATCATGGCTAGTGGTATTGCTCGTAGGGGCACGACGTACGCACGACGACGACCACGGTGATGACGACGACGGAGGCGCTCAAGATGGCGGCCGTACTCCAGCCAATAGTGACTGAGACATGCAGCCTTGTTTACAGCGTCCTTCTTTGATATTGGACATCCATGTTATGGTCAATTGACGCCTGTCAAAACGAGGTGTCCGCTGACCAGTATCACGTGACCATATCGCAAGCTAAAGTTTAGAGCTCATTTTAGTGCTGATTTTCGATTGGATCGCGGGCTCATGTCAGGTTAACTTGTTGTTATCAGAGCCGGGTTGTTCGGAAGCCGGTTAACGCTAACCCAGGATTAAAAGTTAACCGAAGAATAAAGTTTTCTTGTACAAAATGTTTTTCACTACTTTTTGTGTAGTCTGAGATTATTCAAACTCAAAACAGAAGGCCAAACAATATACAGAGAACCTCCCCGCAAAAACACAAAACTCAAATCAAAATTCTCGCTTATTCTGGGTTAGCTTAATCGGGCTTCCACAAGCCGACCCAGAAACTCCGCTTTTAGGTCTGGCTAAATCTATATATTATTACAGTTTAATAGTGCATGCCAGTGCATTTTCAGTGTTTAAGTTGATTTTCTGTGGTTTATATTCACAGAGCGGTATTTCTATAATCGAATGTTTTCTCTCGATACGTCTTGGGTTTGCTTCTGACCCAGTTCAAGGCCATCTTCTTTCTTGTCCTCCTCCACAACGGGCGGTAGCATTATGAAACTGATGAAAAACAACACAAGTGATGAATATTTGATTACACGGGAATAGTGTTCGAAAAGAAACTGAGAAAGTCATTGACAAGGGATGCCGTAATTATGATCAAAAAAATTATCTGAACTAATTTAAGTGTATCCAGTTTTAAAAAATTTAAGTGAATGAAGCTGTCAAGCCAGCGCTGAACTAAAATTTACATAATATTTTAATATTAAAAGGAGATACTGCTCCCGGGATGCTGTTTTTCTCGATCATGGCTGGGTTACCTGTTGTTTTGGTATGATAATCTACGAGCAGAAGTTAGTTATTGACACGAAATGTCCTTGGCGAACTGGACTGGTAGTTTTTACCAGGAAGTGATCAGCGATCGCGCGCGCGCCTACCTGACGAGCGCAAAGGGAATGAGTACCAAAGCGGCACACAAAATAAACACAGAGCCTTGGAATGTCAGTCCGAGTGTCGCCTGGTACACAAGGTTAAACAGCACGGCTCCAACGAGTTGCGTCACTGCGGTAACCATATTATAAGCTGAAAACAAGGCGCCTGGAAGATAAATGGGTATACGTAATGTGAGTAATAAACCGTCCTCCTATAGTAATGTTTCAGCCGATAAGTAACGCAACGCTTACAATTAAGGAACCCTAATTAAGTGGACTGTTACGATAAAGACAGCATGCATTTGATCAATTACGTGGAAAAAGTCACTACACTTTTTCTTTCAGATCGTATTTATGTTTTATTTTGTTTTCATAGCCCATTGTCTTATTTGGCACTTTTCGTTTTTCTTTTTTCTTTGCGTTCAGTTTTCATTGGGGTGGTCCCCGAATAATCCGAACTAGTCAGTTTCAAGTTTCGCGCACACTTGGAAAGGTGCAAATGTACCCTTCATGTGTCAGATGCATGTTTCGTGGAAATTGAAGTTTTAAAACACCATTGTTAAAGGCAACATTATTTGCTGACAGTTGCTATGTGTACCTTGTTCGTCCTCCGCCACTATCCTTGACATTCCTCCCATTAAAACTGGATCGCAGACAGAACTGAAGACACCAACTGCGCCCGCTATGAGGGAGGTAAAAAGTGTTCGTTCAGTTTGTGATTAGAGTCAGTGGTAAGTGGCAAGCCACAAGAATGGCTTCGTCAGTTAATTTCAGGTAGAACATTTTGACCATGGGACCATGGGACCATGTGGAAACAAAATCTGAATCAAGATCCAACTCTAGGAGGATATATACTATTTCTAGTTTTCTGCTTCTGTAGATATACACATAAACCTGCAGTCAGTGTGAACGAGACCCAGTAGAGTTTATAGTAATTCAAAACGACGCAGTCAATCGACCATTGGGTCAATCGATCGATCATAAAGAAGAGCTAAGGATCATTTAAATATATTCATTGTAGTTTGCTCAACTAGAAATTCTACGTTCGAGCCTAGTGGCTTCACAGTTGTTAACTATCTCCGGTTTCCTTGGCGTGAATGGTATTTTTACACCCTCCCTCTTGGATGGATCGGATGGAATGCTCTGGGTTAGTTCAGGTTTTCCTTTATTTTTCCTTTTTTCTTTTCTTTTAATACTGGCGTAAAATCGCAGTTGTGCTGGGTTATAAACTGAATTGAAGACAAACAAGCCAGATTGTGACCTTAGCTCATGGCGCACTTACCAACAAATACCATCCACGTATTATTGGAGAACGCCAAAATAATGGAAGCCAGGATGATAGTAATCATACCCACACGAGCAACATTCAACTCTTTGAAGCAGCTTCCAAAGAGAGGGATGCCAATCACGCTTCCAACACCATGAACAAACGCTTGAAATGCGTAGTAATATCCCACTAGAGTTGGGCTCCAACAAAGGGGACTCTTCAAAATATAAAGCGACTTAACACCGTCGATACCGACCGTTGTTAAGAAAGTGAAGCCACCACAAAGCATCAGCAACACAAGGTTCCTTCGTCCAACATCTCTTCGTTTTCGAAAGAGTTTAAAAAAACTTTTGATATTTTCAAGACTGAAAAAGCGAACAGCAGTGTCGTTGTTGGTCGGTCTGGGAATTTCCCGGACGCAGAATAGCGCCCAGATCCCTGAGAGAACATAGCAGCCCACTATGAACCAGGCAGAAGGAATGAATCCCACGTGGACTATCCAGAGACCGCTGGTCAGTTGACTTATTACTGCAGCAAAGAAGATTGCCAGGAACAACACCGCTATCAAGTCGCAAAAAAAAAGAAAGAAAGACAGAAAAAATTACAACGGCAACTGAATACAGAATCAAGCTCGGTGCACTTTAATTGATCCAGATATTATCCAAATTTAATTTGCAAATTATACTTTAAATTAGCAATAGAAATTAAGTAACAGAATCATTACACTGTGGATATAGTGTGCTGTCAAGGCCATGGGCCCATCTGCCTGGCACTACTCCCGTTTCGGTTACAAGCGTGAGACTGGGGCCGTTCTTTTGCTGTATCAGCAGCATGACTTTGAAATAATGTGCCTCTATATACCAGAAAATTAGACTCGGTTAAGTGGTTAAAAACTCATTTAATTAATTTAAAACGATCTTCGCAGCGCAGCAACCTTTAGACCAGTTTAGGATTTAGCTTTGATATCTATTTATATCTATATTTAAGGAAGTTTTTAATATTATTGTAATTCAGCTATTCGGGACTCTCATGATTTTACGTTTTTAACTTTTATTATATCNCCGTTCTTTTGCTGTATCAGCAGCATGACTTTGAAATAATGTGTCTCTATATACCAGAAAATTAGACTCGGTTAAGTGGTTAAAAACTCATTTAATTAATTTAAAACGATCTTCGCAGCGTAGCAACCCTTTAGACCAGTTTAGGATTTAGCTTTTATATCTATTTATATCTATATTTAAGGAAGTTTTTAATATTATTGTAATTCAGCTATTCGGGACTCTCATAATTTTACGTTTTTAGCTTTTATTATATCGTACATTTGTATTCATACTATTGTTCATTTTTAATTAGGTTTGTAATTTTATTTTCCGAGGGCCACAAGTTTATTAGCCTTTAGCTATTAAATGTTTGCCCTCCTTAAATAAAGCCTTATTATTATTATTATTATTATTATTATTATTATTAT